TTTTTTGTCTTCTGTCCAACAAGCAGGAGATAGCACAATTTCCATATGACCCAATCATATCTGCACTTCCTGTAGCCCCACCCACTGGGTGAGGGCCACCACCTGCTTCTGCACCAACTGATTAACTGATTAATTAGATGACAGTCAATACCAACCTAACTCTCCCTCAACTGCTCAACATGTACAGCAAACAAAAAACTATGTACACATTCTCATCCTCTAGCACACACACCAGGAGACAGGTGGTGAATGTCTAAGTGCTGCCAAACTATGAACAGAGCAGCAAACCAGTACTACTTGCTCAGACATATCAAAACAAAAAAAAGCAAAAAACAAACAAACAAACAAACCTGGGTGAATCACACCAACATACAATCACCAATTAAATACAAATACAATGATATCACAATGTCTTAGAGACAATTGACTATCCCAGTTCACACAAATAAGTAAGATAAAATAGTGCAAACAAGGGACCAAAAGACAGAGCCAGCCTTCTTGGGGGAAAAAGTGGAATTGGAACTACCTGATAAGGAATTACAAAGAATTATATTTAGTCACCTTCAATGGATTGAGACACAGATCAAGGAAAACACTGAAAAAATTAAGGAAAACAGACAAAGCTCTAGAAGAATTCTGGAAAACAATACAAGAAAAACTGACAAAATGAGTAAAAAACTAGAAACCAAACAAAAACAGCAAATAGAAATCCAGAAGATTAATACTAAGATTGCAGAAATAAATAACACATTTGTCTTGGCTCTTTGGTGCTGATATAATAGACATACCACAGGCAGATGGCTTTAACAAACAGGAATTTATTCTCTTACAGTTTAGAAGGCTGTAAGTCCAAACTCAGAGTGTCAGCTTAGGGGCTGGGTGAAGGCCTTCCAACCTTGGGCTTCAGCTCTGTCTCTTATTCCAGGCCCACTGGAGATGGAGGCTTCTTATAACTCAGGCAGCTTCTGGCTGTTAAGGCTGATGAACCCAACATCAGCACATAGAATGGCACAATCCTAAGATCACCAGGCACACAACAGACCTCTGGCTCAAGTTCAGGAACAATCCAAAGATTGGCAGGCAACACAGCAGGCCACTGAGATGAAACTTAGCCAAATGTAGGATCCAGATGTACCCAAAAGTGAGAGACCTTCCTCAAAGCTTCCCCATATATACTGGAAGTGGGCCACACCCCATAGGCAACTAATTAGCTGTTCACAGCAGATTCCACCACATAGTTGATTACAACACATCCAATCTCATCATGCAAAACATGCATCCAGTTGCCCAGCCACTAAAACCATGGCTCAGCCAAGTTGACACACAACCTCAAACCACCATGACATTAAAAGGGAAAAGGAGTAGAATTGAATCAATAGAAGACAGAATTAGTAAGATTGAAGGCAATACCACTTTGTGAAGGGAACAATCAGAAAAAAAGAACAAAAGAATGAAGTAAGTTTAAGATTTATGTGGGACACCATCAAGAGGAATAACTTACATGTGATAGGAATTCTAGAACAGGAACAGACAAATAAAACCACAGAGAAAATTTTCCAAGATTTGTTGGAAGAGAACTTCCCTAATCATAGTGAAAAATAAGAAGATATGCATTCCAGAAGTTCAATGAACCCCAAACAGGATAGACCCCAAAAGAAAATCATCAAGACATATCACAATCAGACTTTCTAAAATCAAAGATAAAGAAAGTCTCCTGAAAACAGCACAGGAAAAAGAGAAATTTACCTATAAAGGGCAACCAATAAGACTAAGCTCCGATTTCTCATCAGAAACGATGCAGGTGAGAAGGCAATTAAATGACATATATAAAACTCTGAAAGAAGAAAATTACCAACTGTTCTGGTTACTTAGTGCCACTCTGACAAGAATATACCATGAATGGGATGGCTTGAACAAACAGGAATTTATTCTCTCACAGTTCAGAGGCTTAAAGTCCAAGTTCAAAGTGTCAGGCTCTAGGGGCTGGGTGAAAGCCCCTCAACCCTGAGCGTCAGCTCTGCCTCCTGCTCCCAGCTCACTGAAGCTGGAGGCTTTTCTTCACTCAGCTGCTGGCTGCTGAAGCTGACAAGCCCAAGGTTGACAAGTAAAAAGGCACAGTCCTGATGTTACCAAACCACATGGCAGGCCATTAATTCAAGTCCATTGAAAGTCCCAAGGTTGGTAGAGCATGGTAGGCTGCTGAAAAATGACAGTTTTGTGCAGGATTCAATTATGCCATAAACTAGAGACCATTCCCCAAGATTTCTCCTTATATGCAAGAAGGAGACCATATCCCTAGGGCAGCTACTCAGCTGCTCACAGTAGATTCCACCATGGAGTTGATTACCAGTCTCATCATGGGGAATACTACACCCAGCTGCCCAGCCACTCAACCAGGCCCAGCCAAGTTGACACACAGACTTAACTACCACACCAACCAAGAATTATATACCCAGAAAAATGTCCCTCAAATATGGTGGTGAAATTAGAACATTTCCAGACAAAGAGAAATTAAAAGAATTTGTTAAAACCAGACCAATCTTACATGAGATGCTAAAGGCAGTCCCTCAGACAGAGAACCAACAACAGCAGACAACAACCTATAATTAATACACATGACAACATCACCCAGAAACCAGTCCAGATATAGAAGTATCCAAAGTAAAATAAACTTACAGGATTGAAAACAGGGAACCAGAGACATCAATTTGTAAATAAGGACAACTACAAAGCAAAAAGTGGGAATAAATAAGGTAGTTACAGAACTTCCAAATGGAGTGGAAGTTAAGATAATTTTGAGATAGAATGGACTGTTTTAAACTTGGGAAGAAAATAATCATAAAGTAACCTCAAAAAAAATTAATGAACTTTCTCATCAAAACAAAAAAGAGGAAAGTCATAAATACTTAGCAAATATTAAAACAATAGCAGTGAAGGAAATGATAAGAAAATTCATAAACAAAATGAGCTCAACACAGAAAATTATAAGGAACAAAGAAATCAGAAAAAAATCACCACAAAAAAAAAAACACATAACAAAATGACAGCAATAAATTCATACTTGTCAATAATTACACTGAACATAAATGGATTAAATGCACTTATCAGGAGTCAAGAGAGCTGCAAAATGAATAAGAAAATATGACCCATCAATATGCTGTCTACAAGAGACAAAGCTTGGCCACAAAGACAAAAATGGATTAAAAATAGATGGTAAAAGCTATATATATAAAGCAAATGGCAATCAAGGAAGAGCAGGAGCAGCAATATTAATTTCTGATAAAATAGACTTTAAGACAAAAACCACCATAAGAGATAAGGAAGGACATTATATAATAATGAGAGGATAAATCAAACAAGGGAACATAGCCATAATAAATACCCACCCACCCAATGAAAGAGCCCCAAAATACATAAATCAAACTTTAACAAAATTGAAAAGAGAAATAGACAACTACACAGTAATAATAGGACACTTTGATATACCACTTTCAGTGAAGGACAAAACAACTAGAAAGAAACTCAACAAAGACACAGAAGAACTAAGCAATGCAATCAATCAACTTGACCTTAGAGACATATATAGAACACTTCACCCAATAACAGCACAGTACACATTATTTTCCAGCACACATGGAACATTCTCCAGAACAGACCATGTTAGGCCATAAAGCAAACCTCAAAAAATTTAAAAACACCAAAATACTGAAAAGCATCTTCTCAGATCACAATGCAATTAAATTATAAATCAATAATGGGGGAAAAAAGCAAACACAGGGAAACTGATTAACATGCTGCTTAAAAACTATTGGGTATAGAAGAAATATAAATGAAATAAAAAATTCCTTGAATCAAATGAGAATGAAAACAACATACCAAAATTTGAGGGACACAGCAAAAGCAGTGCTCAGAGGACAATTTATAGCAATAAAGGCACACATCAAAAATTAAGAAAGAACCAACATCAATACCTTAACCCAACATATCCAATAATTAGAAAAAAGAGTAGCATAAAGACAATAGTCACCAGAAGAAATAATAAAAGTTCATGCAGAAATAAACAAAAAAGAAAACTGAGACACAATAGAGAAAATCAATGACATTGAAAGTTGGTTCTTTGAAAGCATTAAAAAAATCAGTAAACCACTGGCAAATTTAACTAAATAAAAGAAGGAGAAGGTGCAAATAACATGAGTAAGAAATTAAATGGGCGATGTCACACAGAACCAACTAAAATAAAGGATAGTATCAGGATACTATAAAGAACTGTACTCTAATAAACTTGAAAACCAACAAGAAATGAACAAATGTC